GGAAATGGAGAAGAGAAAATCTCGAGATGAGCTGGCCAACCTGCAGAGGAGACTTGACGAGGCTAATGCCCGGCTCTCGAATTCTAAATTCTTGGCCGGGAATTCAGAAAAACTCAGGAGTACGTTGACTTGCAAAATTCTGCCACTGAGTGCGGCGTTTCCTGGTCTCTTCGCTAAGTTTCTAACCAACACCCTATATTGACTTCTCCTTCCTCCCGGAGCGTTTTAGAGTCGAGCGTGATGCTCCTGGCGACATGGATGACGACGACGACGAGTAATAGGATAGCTTGAGAGGGTAGCGAGTTGCTTTGCCTATGTTTAGCGTTTTCACGAATTTTATTTACTTTGTCACTATCTTCGCTTGTATTTCTTTAGAATCATCAATTAACCCTCTGCTACCAACAATTATTGGCTTACGGCTCTAACCCCTATGGAGTTGATTTTGTTGCTTTATTTTCATAGGTTTCTAACCCTTTGGCCATAGCCAATGGTTTTATACATGCTGTCGTTTGGCGTTTACTCCATCTTATGCTTTAACCGTGCTAGGTCAATCGACCCGCTTCTGATTTGTCCGTGTTGAGATTGTTTAATTGTTCTTTCCAAATTTGTCGATTAATGTAGTTCCTGCTTCATCGCACCTGGTTGACGCCAAGCAGGGCTCGGATCCGACCCCTGCTCGATTTGGGCTAGTTTTACTAAGCTTGTGTCACCGAGTCTTCTGATCATGACCTGTTGCCCCTTACTCTTAAGGTAGTGTATTGTCGATATTCACTCCTTGAGAGTATGTTTGTAGACGAGGCAAGGTGTTTTATTAAAGTCATTTGGCATCCAGTTTTGGATTTTGAAGACAACGTTGATAGGGAATTTGAAGGGAAAAAGGAAAGGAAAGATCAATGGCCCCGTAGTAGAAGTCTTGTCATTGCCCCTCATTAAAGTATAGTAGCACGCACGCAATACTCGTTGCTCTCCTTTAATTTCTCCTACTCCACCAGGTGTTGGGAACTTCATGGACTGGTGGTACATGGATGGTATCGCTTTGAGCATGTGCATTGTCGGTCTTCCCAATATTGCATTGTAGGAGGATGTGTAGTCAACGACCAAAAAGTTCACCGTTTTGGTGATACTTTTTGGCCCACTTCCGAACGGGCAACTCTATTCTCCTATCGGGAATGACCCGTTCTCCTCCAAATCCTATCAATGGTGCCGGGCTGCTCTTAAGCACCTCTTCTCCTAAATCCATGGCTTTGTAGGCTGTCAAGGAGATGATATCTGCTGAGCTGCCCCCATCCACCAAAATTCGTTGCAATTTTGCGTTGGCTATTTTCAAGGTGATAACCACCGTATCGTTATGCAGGTGGAGGAGGTGAATCGCCTCGTCCTCTGAAAACTTGATCTTCGTAGATCGGTCCGCAACATATGCATGGTAAACCTTACTTTGTTGGAGGCTCGCCCTAGCTTCTCATACGTTTGCCTTTCTTTTTCTCCCGGACTTTCCCTCTATTGGGCCTCCAATTATCGAATTTCTCGAGCAGGTGACTTGTCGTTCTCGCCATTTTGTGTCGCTTTAGGGTCCTCTACATACTCTTTAAGGTACCCCTTCCGGATGAGTCTTTCCACGTCTTCCTTGAGGTCAAAACAATCCTGAGTTGCATGGCCGTGATCCCTGTGGAAAAGGCAATATCGACCTTTGCTTCTTTTAGTCAGAGGTGCCTTCATCCTCTCTGTCCATTTAAGCAACCTTTGGTCTTTGGTCTCCATTAGTACTTGCTCGAGTGGAACGGTAGTTGGCGTATATTTTTCGAATTTTTGGGGTGGATCTTTCTGGCTACTCCGATCTCTTTTCTCCCACCTCGACCCCTGTGGCTTATCTCCCAACCTCTCTCTCTTATGGTCGGACCGTTTTCCTTCTGGCTCCTTTTTTGAGTAAAAGAACTTACCATCACTCATGTACTTCTGAGCTCGGCTCAGCGCCTCCGAGAAGGTGCTCGGTGTCTTCTTCCCGAACGAGAATGATAAGTACTCATCCCTGATGTCGGACATGAAGGCCAGTAGAGATACAGCGTCTGTGAGGCCCTCCACCTGCAGCTTTTCCTTGTTGAACCGAGCCACATAATCGTGTAGGCTCTCTGTCGCCCTTTGTTTAATAGTTAAAAGATAAAATACGCGTCGGCTCCGACTCTGTCCCCCTACAAACTGGTTACGAACGCCCTAGCCAGGCTTTTGAAGCTCGAGATTGAACCTCGTTTTAATTGTCGGAACCATATTCTAGCCGACTCGTTCAACATGGTCGAGAACACCCAGCATCTAACTGCCTCTGACACCCCGTAGATATTCATCCATTCTCGATAAGCATTAGATTGTCCACTGGGTCGGCCGTCCTGTTGAATTGTTTCACCGTGGGTAGCTTGAATTTTGGAGGGACCTTCTCCTTCATGATCTCCTCCGTAAATGGTGAGTCGGCCTGATCCAGTAGTTCTTCGAGGTCGAACCCCTTCTCCTTTTAGTTTTGTCACTTCTCCGACAACTGTGGCCGATCCGTCGGTTTGTCTTTGTCGAGGTCTATCGGCTCAGAGTTTCGGTTATCCTAGTTGTTCTTGCCCCCATTTGGTATCGGGGATTTCTGTTGTTTTTTGCTCTTTTGGGAGTAAAAAATCCGGGTTCGTCGTCTGGTGTTTCCACCTATCCTCAGCTTGCTCCCTGCACTGTTCGTCGTCTGCTGGACCCTTCCTTTTTCTGGGGTCTCTAACAAAAGGTATCTCATCGGGCTCTTGTTGTTCGAATTATTGAAGGACTTGGGTCATGCATTGAAGCATGCCCTCTATCTTGTCTTCCAGGGTTGCAAACTGCTTTTGGAGTAGCTCAGGGGTCATTACTACATGCGTCTCGGGCAACCCTTCCTGACGTTCCGGGTTTGATGGGCTGGTCCCATCTTCGGGTCCTCTAACCTGGGGGTCGTCCAAGTTCAACCTCCTCTTGGTATAGCAGTTGTCATCAGAGTGTTGTGGACTCTTTTCTAGTGTCATGTTGCTTGACTGGATGCCTTAAATCGTCTCCACAGACGGCGTCAATTGTTGATGTGTGGATTTCGTCCTCCGGTTCTCCTCCTTGCACACACCTAACTTGATAATTCGGGGGCTGATACCTGCAAAACCAAATCAATCTAAACCGGTGTGACCTTAGTCACACGAGCTCCGATGTCTAAGTTAGCAAGGAAAAGTTGAGAAAACAGTGAACTAGAGATGTTTACTTGCCTCTTCAGGATTGGACCTCACTGCTACTTATAACCGTGAAGATGATTCCAGAACCTTCCGCAGTTAAAACCCTAATTCAAAGTTGCAGGACCCGAGGGGAATCGATTGGCTCTATGTCGCTCGCTTTCTTCGTTCCTTTGCAGCTTGGTTACTTGTCGATTTTCCGTTGCATAACATGTTACATATATAGTTGAAAGAAGCAAGGCGTAACTAGTATGGCAAACTCCTTTTAAATTGTTTATGTATAAATTTTTTCTTCTGTCCCTCGTTACGAATATCGAGTTTGGTATCAAATGTCTTAAAGTTTTTATTAACTAAACTATTAAAAAATTAATAACACCTAGTAAATATATTTTTTAGATTCAAATTTGGCTCTCGTAATAATTTTTGTTGTTATATTTATAAAAAAAAAACTTTATAAATTATAACAATTAAATCCTTAAAAGGGTTACCAAACTATTATAATAATTAAATTATATAATTTAATTGGAGAAAATTTTTGGTACTACGAGAGTACTATACTCTCTCCCATTTATTGCTTGCCACATCAGCAGTGTATTAAAAATGATGTGGACTCTATTTTGTGATTTTCGATCTAATTATATGATTTGGAGTTTTTTTCTATAATATTTTTTTAATTTGGTCACAACGCTCATGACTGTATTCACATCCTGAACAATTCTTCCTTCGGACAATAGTCCTCCTCAAATAATCATCCAAAACTTGCTCTCATCCCTATCTTCTTTTCTTCTCCATGTTGCGTAACAAGACTATCGATGTTGACCATTTATACACACCATAATAGAGTTCTATTGTGCACCCAAAATTTGGATCGATACAACTAAATTTCGAGCTTAGCTTTGTAACCATCATTAGGACCACAAATTTATTCATATTTATATAATGTTACATTATTGGCTACTTTTTGGAGACATGCGATTTTAATTTTTCAATTTTATCTAAAAGGCTCGTACTAATAAAGTGAGTCCCTGAACTTTAAACTTTGTGTATTTCAAGAAGTTTCTAATAATTTTATAAACTTTCTTAATCGGTCTAGCTGTACGGAGTGAGCTATAGAAAAAGACCTACACGCAAGGAACAAACACTCTGATGCTCAGGTCAGTCTAAAGTCCGAGCTAATAAGTCGGTTCCAAGACAGAATCACTTACTTGTGAGTGGGAATGATGTCGTATTTATAGGAGTTAATTAATGGGAGACGGTCGTGTTATAACTGATAGAGTTTGTTACTGAAGTTGATCACAAATAGTTCTACTGTATGGCTCGGATTAGTCCAAACTATTCAATGATTGTACATATGGGAGTTTAAGTACCATCAAATCCGTGAGATAAAATTATAATATAGATTTATTTGACATAAATAAAAATTTGATGAATTTAAAATAGAAAAACATAATTGATCAGTTGTCATGATTCAATTGGTGAAGACATATTTTTGCGCCGATAATAATACAAAAGTAAAAGTTGTACGCCCTCCAACACGTCAAAACATTAATCTCCGCGTTCATTTTTTCAAACCAGACCCACCACTCTCTCTCTCTCTGGCAATGGTTGAGGTTGACCAGACGCCATTTTTTCTGAGCTTTTTCTCCAAAACAATTGTACCGTCCCCGCCGACCCTTTAATCTCTGTCCCCCTTTCTCTTTCCCATTCTCACTCACTTTCTCTCCTCTTTATAAACCACGCACCATCTCCAACTTCTCTCCATCATCCCCATTCCTCATCTCCAAAATGAAGGTCTCTTCCGTCGATGACTCCCAATTTGATCTCTGCAATGGAATCGCAGCCGCCACCCATTTCACTGTCATGAAAACCTCTCTCTTCTTCGCCGGCGACGGCTTCACCGTCTACGACTGCAAAGGCAACCTCGTCTTCCGAGTCGACTCCTACGGCCCTGACTCTCGTTACAAGGATGAACTCGTTCTCATGGACCCCCTCGGTCGCTGCCTCTTCACTCTCCGCCGAAAGGTTACTTTTTTTCTCTTTCTTTTTCCTTCAATTCAACTGGGTTCTGCCTATTTGTTCAAATTAATTTCTGTTCTTGTTTCATTGAGTGTTTGTTTTTAACTCTGTTTTTGGTTTTGCTCTGTTTCTGCGAAACAGAGGCCGAGTCTGCATCAACGGTGGGAAGGGTATCTCCGGGAGATGTGTATAAGAGACAGAATATGTACTTTGAATTTATAAAAAAATCATTAGTTGCTTATATATTACAAATTGATAAATTTATTTTATTATTCTTAATTAGTAAAATTATAAAAATATGAGATTAAAAATAATAAATTATTAATAAAATANGAGGGGTGTTTTGGGCAACGCTACTGCACGGTTTTGAACGCCGGGAAAGAGCCGGTGGCGGAGATTAGGAGGAAAGTGGATGCTTCCACCAATGTCATGCTTGGAAAAGACGTTTTCTCTCTCTCTCTCAAGCCTGGTTTTGATGGAGCTTTCGCCATGGCTTTGGTGCTTGTTCTTGATCGCATCAACGGTGATGATGGGCTAGATTCTGCCGCTGAACTAGATCCCACCCTTGATTGATTTTACAGCTTTTTTTCGAGATAAAATATATATTTTGTTCACTTAATTTAAAATGTCCAGATTCAGTTCCTCTCGGAGAAAGTGAAACCCATATACTTTGAACATACATGGTATACCTCCACTGCATTTTTAACCAGGCTCCTTGTACGAGAACAAAATTTTGTACATTTCAAAATTCAGTGACTGAAATTGAATAAGTCTCAAGGGATTTGTGTTTCGACATTTTTGTTTGAGGTGTTGGCTCCTCTTTCCCACCTGTTTGATGGGAATTTTATGTCTTTGTTTATAGTTCTTACTTTTTTTCTTTTTAGATTTGATGTTGACAAATGTGTATATGTTACCATTTTTACAGCCTGAAATGAATGGGAAAAAAAAGGGTGTGGAATATGATTTGAGTATCAGCAAACAAAGCCTTGATTGGAAATGGAACAACAGAGACAGAGTATTAAAGAATGGGATTTGTTACATTGATGAAATGTTGTGTTGAAAAAAAAAATCAATCAGTTGGTGTTTTAAAAATTCATATAATTACAGTTAACTCAAAGAATTGAAGATGAATTGTAATTGTAAGTTTTTGCAAACTGCTTGATCTTGAGCTGCTTTGTAATGTCTTGTGTAGTTTTTTTCTAAGATGCAAGAATCAGCAGCAGCACAGCAGCACAGGTTGAGCCAAACCAGCTTCCAAATCCAAGTTTCTGCCATTTTTTGATTTACAAAAACAAAAATAAACTCGAATGAACTAAACTTGAATGATAGAAATCAGTTTGAAAAATCTGACTGTTCATGAAAAGAAAATCATACCTTGAAAGAGAGAAGAGATGAGGGTCCTGCAGAGGAAGGTTTGAGCCCCGTGAAGCCGATATCGTATGAAATGCTGCCATCCGCCCTGAACAGCCCGAAGTTTCTTTCCGACGTCGGCCCCGGCTTCGAGTTCTCGTTGAACAGAGCAAAAATGTAAGCCTTCACCACGGTTTTCGGCCGGTAGGGAGTTCCCTTCTTCTTCATCAACTTCTTTCGTAGATTTCGATTGTATGTTCTTGCATTTTTCAAATTAGCACCAGCTTCGTTCTCATCCCCATGAGATGCCCAGCCAGTCTCTGAGACGATGACTGGCATCTTCGCAAACCCGGCCTTTTCGAGTGCAGCATAAGCCGCATCAACTTGAGCCTCGAACATGTTATCGTAATGCAGGTTGGTTTTTGCATCGAAGATCCCCTTGTTCTTCTTGAAGAGGGCATAGTTGATGTCAATATGTTCAGGATCATTCTTGTAAGCCAAGAATGGATATGCATTAATGAAGAAAGGAGAGCCAATTTGGGAGAAGAACTGCAAAAGAGGCTTCATAAATGGCACAACATCTTCCCTAAAAGTGCAGGATGAAGGTGGAAATGAGTTTGCAAAAACAKCTTCTGAATGCGGACTTGAAACTTGCACAATGGCTGTCAATTGAAGCCTATAGAGAGCATTGTAAACATTTTTAACTGCAGGCACAAGAACCTCCCACAGCTCGGGGTCGCCGCTCCCCAACACCTCGTTCCCAACCGCAATCCCTCGTATATGAGTGTCGGGGAGGAATGGCTGAACATTCTCTTTAATCCAGTTCATGGCGCGATCCTCCGCGACGCTTATGTCCTTGAGATATTCATTGCCAAGACCAACCACAATCTCGATACCAGAACCTTTGAAGGCGGTGAGGACTCCATGATCAGCATCATAGATTCTGATGTTCTTTATCTTTGCAGCTTTCAGAAGTGTCACCACACTTTCAGGTGGTGGTAAATTATCAGCTATTCTTCCATAATTCACTCCATAAGTCCAAGTTGCATCCACTGCTGTAAAAAAGAAAAGCCAATAGTTAGCCAAAATTCAACTCAAAGTTCAATGGAATCAAAGAGCAAGAAGTTGTTAAAGTGGAGAGAGAGGGGGAGAGGGAACAGACCATTTAGCAAAATGGCACAGAAGGGAAAAAAGAAGCAGAAGAAAGAGGAAAAAGAGGTCATTTGTGAGGAGGGGCGAAAGCAGAAAGAAAATAGAGTTCCTTTTGTAGAAAGATGTGGGGTTTGATGGCCATGGGCATTACAAAAATAGACTTCAGATTCTTAGCCTTTGTCCAAAGATGATTCAAATTTTGATCTGAAGGAAGAAGATTCTTTATTCTTAGTTCCATGATGAAAAAGACTTTGAGTTGTTTTATGGGGACATAGAATAGATTCTTCCCTTTCCTCTCACTTTTATTTCTCTGTCTCTCCTCTCTCTAAAATTTCCTCTCTTTTCACTTTCTTTTCATCTGTTACTTTCCTTGGAAAATCTCCATTTTCTGCTTCAAGATTTTTTTTTTCTTTCTTTCAGATGTTTGATGTGGTTTTAGAATATCCATTTGATTTGGAGACACTTTCCATTTTCATGTTAAAGAAAGAGTGAGCAAAAGGGTTGATTTTGAGAAAGGTTTCATTTCAGTGTGATGTTGAAGTTTCTAGAGCAAAAAAGTTGGAACCGAAAAAAAAAAAAAGCAACAAAACAATGATTTCCATTGCAGAATATAAGACTCAGAATGAAAAATTGATGATTGGTAGAAGGATTTAAACAGGAAAAACATCTTTCACCCAATGTTAAATTAGAAGGTTGATTAACGTTTAACATTCTACAGTCAAAAGAAGTCTGGTAACCAAAAACAACAAAAGCTACAGAGTCTAAAATCTAACCTGACTACTACAAGTTCTCTTTTTCAGTAAATACATTGGTAAACTAAAGCTATCGTCACCGTGGAAGAGCGTAAACAGTTGCAGAAACAAAGATCGGGTGTCGAGACTACCAAAAGGTGATGGGAAGTAGGCATAATACAGCAGTCAGCAGACGGTTGTGATATATGCGCTGCATCGATCCATTGGTCTGTCCTAGTTAAAGCTTGCCATTTTCTTTCACCAAGTTATCGTGTTCGATACTTCTGTCCTCGGCCTGAACATTACACTTTGCACCATTTGTTGAAACATCTTGATTACCCTTACTTCTGTCCTCGGCCTGAACTAATGCACCATTTGTTGAAACATCTTGATTACCCTCAGCCTCGGCATCTGGTGCAGCGGCTACTGTTTCATTCTGATCACTCTGTTTCTCTTCCTCCACAACTCCGTTTGCTTGTTGGATGACAACAGTGCCAGGGTCGTTTTCTTTCTTGTCCAGAGAGTAATTTTCTTTCTTGTCGGGAGAGTCGTTTACTTGCTCGATCTCAGTTTGCGCTACTGCTTTTTCAATTTGGTTCACCTCACTAGCAACAGTTTCTTCAGTAGGTGTGACTATTTCTGCTACCTCATTTCCCTGCTTTTCAACTTCTTCCAGACCTTCAGTTTTCTCTTGAATGGTATCTTGACCGTTAGTTTTGCCACCATTCTTATATGTTTCATCGTTACCGACAGTTCCCAAGTTAACATCTAAATCTGAACTTTCCTTGAGATCTTGCTTTTCACCTTCTTTCACCTCAGGAACATTTTCCTCAGTAGCTGCCTTTGCTTCTGTTTGACCATTTTCAGTTTCACCAGCATCGCTGCCCATCTTATCTTTACTGCTTATTTCTGGATCAGCATCCACTTTTTCGATTCCCTTCTGTTCATCTTTCAGATTATCTCCATTTTCAGCCTGACGATCATTATAAACGTCTTTGTCTTCCTCAACAACAGGAATCTCCTCATTCCCCTCTGCATCTTTCATTTCAATTTCTTCAGGAACCTTTGGAGCTGCATCAGCTTCCTCCTTGTTATCCTTTTTAGAACCAGAAGATTTTCGGCTCCGTTTCCTTGGAGGCTCCTCTTTGGGCGGAGTTGCCTTGACCTTCTCGCTAATTCTTGCTGATCTTCTAGGTGTCTCGCCAGTGCTCCAATCAAACTCCGATACTGCAGGACTACCAGGATGGGATTTCAAGTACTGCTCCAGCAGTTTTCTGTTGCTGAATTCTTCACCAGTTGGAGCAATGAATACAATCTCGCTCTTTCTTGGTGTACCTGCCTTCTTTGGTATGAACTGAACAGGGAAAAGAACCGACAATTCGTTTTAGTAGAAATGCACAAAAGAACCTTACAAGACAGAAGTCATGTTATTAAAATCTTCCAAAGAAGAAGTTCCATTTACATCAAACATCGAGAGTTTGGCACAAAGAACACAACATACACAACACCCAAGCCACCTGAAAATGATCAGAGAAGGCATCAAATAACTGAGCTAATGCATCTCACTCAATTTGAGAAAAAGGAAAAAACATGGAAGAGATGGTGGGGGTGGACGGGGGCGATTTGCATTGCATAGACATCAGTCTTTACTGAGACACCTCGATACAACCGAAAAATCTTGGTAGATTTTGCTGCTTCAAAGAATCAGAAGTTATTTCTCAATCTCTAACTGAGAACTGAATTACAAAAGACTTTTCATATAACGTAAAAGAGATAACAAACTTCATAGTTCACACAATAATCAAAAAGCCACAAAACTCCTCAGCTGATTCAGAAAACACTTCAAAAATAGCCACAAGTTAGATTTAAAATGTTTAGGCCTCGGGTCATCCAATGGCAGATCAAAGGCCTTCATTTCGGTTTCTATTGCAGCCTTAAAGAGCAGACTGCTTTAGGCAGCAACAGTAACAGCAACTAGATCAAAACTGCTCCCAAGATCGGTCTCGCTCTCTCTCTAAAGTACACAAAATCCTACAGCATGAATATCAGAGACGTTTCGCACAGAACAACATAAGATCGTAACTCCGAGAACTTAACACTCTCTTAAGTTTTAACACTCTTTCTTCAGGTTTCATGTACATCAAGTTCCTTATTTTCAATCAGACAGGAGCTCTTTCATAGGTAGTCATGTCCTACACATAAGAATTTTCTACAACTTCATAGCAACTAATTTTTCTCTATCCGCCATCCAAAAAAATTCTCAGGGAAAAGATTTAGCAAATAAATGTCTAAAGTTTCAACAATTACACAAAAGTCAAATGACTATGCAACAAATTGAGAAAAAAGCGAGCTTTCAAAAGAATTCAGTCCTCTTCTATGTCGTTTCCCAGAGGGTAAAAACAATTTTCAGTAACCACAGACATGAAAAAGGGCCACAAACAAGGATTTAACGTTGTATTATAACCCTAACCATTCGGACAAGCTGAAACCTCCCACAATTTGCCAAACAAGCCCAAAACTAAAACAGAGTTCTAAAGCAGAAAAAACACAAACTTTACCACAAAAAGAGAACATTGAGATGAAATTCACAAGACCCAGAAGCAAAAATTGAAGCAGAAAGTGGAAAAAACTTGCTTTCTTGCCAAAGAAAAAAAAAGACCTAAATTGGGCAAATTTCTAAAAGTTTTAGAGAGAGAGAGAGAGGGAGACCAGTTTCTTCCAAGTAGGTGGTGCAGGAAGCTCCACAGAAATGAGTTCATCCATGGCTCCTCCTCCACTCTCAGTTTGAGCTTCGTTTTCCAGCACCATCACCTCCGCTTTGCTCTCCATCTTCCCACCAATCTCTCTTTCTCTCTCTAGAAAACTCTCTGTTTCTCTTTCTCTCTGGTTTTTTATTTGTTTAATTTTGTTGTGTGGCCAAAAAAGAAGACACAAACCGTTGAGAGAGACTCTGAGGTGTGCTTTTTTGGTGGTTACTCCTCCAAGCTCTCTCTCTCTCTCTCTCTCTCTCCCAAATCCACTGGGCGCTGCTAAAGTTACCCTCACAGCAATGGGAATCGAAACCCATCTGACACTTTGTCCAATCAGAAGCGGGGTGATCTTCCAATCCTAGATGATCATCCATCGTGTCAAGATCAGAGAAGCCAATTCAGGGACTTGAACTGTACTCGGCAATAGTGTAACTTTTCTTGCATAAAAATCCCAGCTTTCTCAACGCGGGTGAATTCGGAGAAAAGAAAAAAAATCCAAAGATTCCAAAATTCCAATTTTTTTTCTCTTTTTCTTTTTCTATATCCATAAAATTTTGAAATGGAAAGCAATTTTTGTTTTCCCGCACTTTGTTTTGGAGAATTGGAAAGGAGCGGTCGTGGCGGACGTGAAAAGCTTCGGATAACGTTACTTTTAAGGGAATTGAAATGTGGATTTCACGTCCGAATCTGACAGTGTTGTGTTGGCTTGGGCTTCAAGTTTTTTTTTTT